GAGAGTTCGAAAGAAATAAAAAAATTTCGCCAAAATTAGGCAATTTGTACCACGTTGTCATATGATTGATGATCGCATCATTTTGAAAACCGCGATAACTAAATGTGTCCTTTATTAATATGCTTTAAGTATATTGATATGCCCGATACTTGATTATAAGGCCAATAGGATTGACAATAAAATGAATAACAATGAATTACTATGGTGTTATCCATTTATTTCTGTGATGCTAAGAGATCTTCCAGAAAATGCTGCAATAACTCTAATGTATAATTCCGTCAATTGTAAATATCTGTGTCATCAGTATTTAATAGAAAGCGAAAATTAATTAAATCTTGAAAAAATTGTTTATAAAGTTCTTCAGATTTATTAGTCATTAATGCATATACAAGTAATAAATTCTAGAGTTATCTTCTGCACCAATAGGAGCATAAGTTATATATAGTTGATAAAAAACAGTTAGTACTATTTTAAAAGTACTATCCATAATCCAAAATCTTACTTGTGATAGATATTAAATATTTGTTTTGTAGTAAACAAAAGAATCCTTTTTTGATTAATTCTTGTATCTTTAATTAAAAATAAATCTCCAATTAAAGTATAACAAAGGGAAATTGAAACATTAATCTCATCTAGAGTTTTTGGCTGTGATGGTATTACTGTTCTTCTAATACGTTTAATTTTCATTTAAAAAGCATTTTGGGATGACATACTATGTTATTTTGAATAATTTGAACAGGTTGATCTCTTGCTAATGCTTGTTGTTTAATATCAGCAATAATTTTAGCAATATTACCACTACTAGCTTGGGTATGATTGGAATATTTTTGAAGGTAGTGTGAACCATCATTAAGAATTGTTATTGCATGACCTTTACATTTCTCTGACTTTTTTTTCACAACACCAATAATAGATATTTTTCAAAGTTCGCTCTTATGTCATTAAAAAGCCATAAACTTTTATTTTATCATTTCCTTTTTTGAGAAGGTACGATTTCTACGATTTCGCAATTTTCATCCATTTTATTATTTAGAATATATGAAATTAATATTTGGCAAAAGTATTTTATTTTATAAAAAGGATGAGAAAATTTTTTTTTTTTTTGCGTTGCGAAGTTTAAGAGAAAATTTAATAGACTCAAGAACTTCATTAAAACTCGTCTTAAAATTGTTAAAAGTAATGCTTAAAAATTCTTAAAATACTTTATGGGCGCAGCAATAATAGGTCATTCGGGATTATGACTTCGGGATTATGACCCTTCGACATTTTGATCTTCGAGATTTTGTACCATACCCATCTCGCTTATATTGCTAAAATCAGCTAATGAAGCATTTTTTTAAAAAACGTTGAGTATTCTTCGAGATTCTCAATATCTTTTGTAATATGTAATAAAATTTGAGTCAAAATATAATTGAATTTTTTAGTTATTTATTTATTTATTTTTATAAGAGCAACTCAAGATAAATTCAAAAAAGTATATAAATAATTTATTTAATAAATTTGATAAAATTTCAGTTTAAGAATTATGTATTTAGTGTGGTATTGGTGGTATTGTTGAATTTTAAAAACATTTATCTTATTTTTTTTGATACATCCAGCACATTAAAATATTATAGATATGATCGTTTTTATCGTATCCTACTTGTAAATTTAGATAAACTGTAAATATCTCTCTCTAAGAAAACATAACGAACGTAAATTATAAAAAAAAAGCGTATCGTACTTTTGACAAAACGTACCATAATTAAGTTAATAATACCTATATTTAAACGTAGATAAAATGGATAAGAAATTGAAAAATCATATTATAATGCAATGTTCGTAAAAATATGACATCAAGAATTGTATTAAATTTCTCGCTAATCCAAAAAAAGTAAATTCATTAATTTGTTTGCCCAAACCCGAATTGAGGCTTAAAGTCGAGGCTCAGCTTGGGAGATCGATCAAAGATTGTATATCGATAAGTCAATGATATCAAAGTAAATTCATCTATATTGCATTTTCCCTGAAATTACTTTTTTTTTATTAGTAGAGGCTTAAATCGAGGCTCGGCTTTATTGGGGTAGATCGATCAAAGATTAATTTTTATTGATAAGATCAATCGTTGATATTATAATCCAAAACAAATTGTGGATTTTCCGAATTAAAGGTTCGGCTTAGGTTGTATGACCAAAGATTTGTATCTATAAATCAATCAACCGAGATATTAATTAATTTTTAATCATTATTGTTTTTAAGATAGGTCGATCTTGAAATCAAAAAAAGCTTGTTCTTTTGATACGCATTTATGAAAATCATGCACCTAAAGTTTTATTTCCAAGCCTCCCTCGCTGAAAATTTCATACAAATTTTTTCAATTTCTAAATTTGGTCAAACCAAATTTAAAAATGAAAGAATAAAAAAAAA